GCTGTCATGATCAACTTGGTGAGATTTTCTTTTTGGTGGACAGGCTCATTTCATTGCTGTCCAACCAAGATGTCATTTGATTTTGGACTTGCTTTTGTACTGGCCTAATGAAGCCAGCACTGAAATCTCTGGCAGATTTAAAATTCATAGTCATAGAAAAGACCACAGGCCTACACCCCATTGGAAATATGCAGCTAGGTATCCAGCTTTAGGACAATATCTGAGATTCATAACTTCCTTGAATTCTAAAAAAATATACTCTTTATTTTAGAATAATTTTGACTTACAGAAAAGTCACAGAAAGAGTAGAGAGAGTTCCCACCTACTGTTTACCTAGTTTTCCCTAATGTTGACATTTTACATTACAATGATACATTTGTCCAAACAAGTTAACATTGCTGCAATATTATTAACTAAACTGTTGACTTTATTTGGATTCACCAGTTTTTCCATTAATGTCTGTCTTCTATTACATAATCCATTCCAGAATATGACATTGCATTTCATTCATTGAATTTTTAAAGCGTATTTATCAGAGCAAAGTAGATAGGAGGTAGTATGGTTTAGTGGAAAAAATGTGGACTTGGGGATCAGCTAGCTAGACGTAGTTTTAATCCTAGCTCTGCCATTTATTAGCCACTTGACCATAAAAGGTGGAAAGGATGGTTGTGAGGATTAAATGAGATAAGGTGTGCCAAAAAGGACCTGGCAGGTAATTAATCTTTGTTAAATGTTTGTTATCTTCCTCCTGATAGTGCAAAGTAGGAAACTTTTCAGTTGCATATATCTAATGAAAACTCATTTGGCTATATTATAGGGCAATCAAGTTCAGGTCATAGGACTCTTCTTCAGGCTTATTATCAATTAAATATAGTGCGTTTATTTGGAAGACCATGTATTGGGTTTCTGCATGTCTTCTGAGCATGTCTTTTGTCTCCAGAGCACCAAGTTCAACAAATCATATAGAAGCAGCAGTGGCCTTTTATGAATTTGCCCCCTGTAGCTACAGTGGTGTTGTATATAGCTCCAGGAGGAGATTCCTGTAGAACCAGAAGTGAAATGCAACACCCAGCTCTGGATTCCTTTAGCAGGCTGAGCCTCAGGCTCATTCTGGCAGCAATTCAAAGTGGGACCGAAAGTCCTCCACTTAAACTGGGTCAGCTCCTTTGGAATGGAACACCAGACTTGAGGGTCCATGGAGTTAATCTCAGAGCACTGGTTTACAAATGATTTGTAAAATTGTTGAATACTTCTACTTCCTACGTCTGCCATGCTGTAAACACTTGAGTCTGCTGTCCTGATATGTAGTCTAAAGTGGTGTTGTGATTTGGGAAAACGGAGTTGAGACTGGGATTGTGTGAGGGTGAAAAACAACCTGCTAGTTTCTGGATCTTTTCCTTCCTGCCTGAAGATAGTGATGAGCGGATATGGAAATCTTTTGCCATTTTAGTGTATTGGAGAAAATCTGGCTCGGCACACGTTTTTACTCTTTGCTTGAATGTATTTAATGGTGTTGACCACCAAGAGTAGAGATGTCCTTTTTCAAGGCTGACTTTGGCTGCCTTGATAGGGAAGTAGAGGGAAGGCCTATATTACTGTATGTTGGTGGGTTCTTTCCATTTCAGAAGCTCATGTACTGGTACTGTTAAGTTAGGTTGTAAAGTAATCTCCCAGGTAGAGGGGGTGTTCTACTGTTATTTAGTAACCAACGGTCGATGATATGTAGTCAACATTTCTGAAGGATCATTCATTTGCCAAATATTTATTGAGTCCTGATTAAGTACAAGGTATTACACTAGGTACCGGATGATAGCAAGATGAATATTTTGGGGTCTCTGACCCTGAGGAGCTTAAAATCTGGTGGGAGAGATCAAACGCATCCATTAGGAAATACAGTAGAGGGGATGGGAGTAGGCATCTTGGGGACAGATTATGAAGGTCTTTGATGGAATGCTCAGCTTGCTGTGGTGTGGGGCGCGGTAGTGGTCTGTGTCCACAGTAGTCTGTGTGTAATATCATAGCCACAGTTGATTGGTACAGGGATGGACACTTTCCCCAAACCAAAACATTCAGAATCCTTGTTGGGGGTTTTTCAAATTTTAATGAAGAAAAAATTTAAGACTGGTAGAAGGAGCCTTGGATGTAATGCTTGGGAGTTCTCAGTAACCAAGCTATCTGCCTGTGGAGAATGCGGATGAGCAGTAGGTAGGAGGGAAGGTGACCTCGGGAGTCTCATGAGTGACAGTGGAGGGAGAAGATCCTGGCAGAGACTGAGTGCCAGGTTCTAATCATCTCCCGGGTGTAGCAGCACTCTTGCCTTTTTGTGGTGATACGGATTTCCCTAGGAGCCAGAAACCCCCCTTGAACTGGACTCAGCAAAAATGTGAATTTATCGGAATCTGATACCAAACAAGGTGAAAAGCTGGAATGCAACTGGTGGGAATTTAAAAGACCTGTTGTCCCATGTCACTTGCCTCTTCTCTCTAGTCAAGTTAGTTTTTGTCTTTCAAAGGGCTTTCCCCAGAAAGTTGGAACCAGGGCTCCCAGTAGTTCTCAATTCACATTTCCTAGCTTCATTAAAGGGTTTCTACTGCTTTTCTTTTACTGCCAATTTGCAAAATTCTAGGGAAGATCTCTGATTGGTCTAGTAAGGGTTGTATATCAACCTCTAGGCCAGAGGGCCAGGATTGTGTTTGGCAAGCCCATTAGAACCACAGAAGCCTGGGGGGGAGGAGTTGTTTTCCATAAGAAGGGGGAGGATGCTATCTTTAGACAAGGAACAAAACAATAAATGTCCCCTAAAGATGAGGAAAGCCCAGTCTGGGTCCATAGCCTGGGGGCTAGGAAACGAGGGTCTGCATTGGAGAAACATTGCCCCAGGGAGATAGAATCTATAGACATGGGAATGCTAGAAGATGAGCAGATCTGGGAAGAGAAATAATGGGCCAGTTGGGATGCTGCTGTCTTAAGAAATGTAGGAAACCTGATAGTTTGGTGGTTTTTTTTACAAAGGCTGAGGTTCCGTTTGAATCAGAAGTCAGGTGCTGTGAGGGCTTTCCTCTTCAAAGCTTTCTGATCATTCTATCTTAGTGAACCCCACGAGTAATAATGGTATGCATTTCAGAGTTTCTATTATGTACAAAGCTTTGTAGTAGGGCCACATGTCACGTAATTTAATAATTGCAGCAACCCCGTGAAGTGTATTACGTGGAGGAAAGTAACTGAGGTAAGGGAGGATAAGAAATTTGGCTCAAAAACAGGTCTGTCTGATTTAAGAGGAGTCCAGGTTCTCCCCATTACATTGCCTATTTTAGATACTACTACTGACAATAATACTTACAGTATTGTTAATAGTGGCTAACAGTTACTGAGCTCTTACTCTGTGCTAAGCACTTTAAATGAAATAACTCACTTCATCTTTACAAATATTGTCCTCGATTTATAGTTGGGAAAACTGAGGCCTGAGGTCCTGCAACTAGAAAGTGATAAAGCCAGCACTTGAATCCAGCTCTCTTGGAGTGAGGGGCCAAATCCAAAAGCACTACTTTCTGCTGTCTCTAGTTGCATGAATAATGCTCGTCCAGTAAGAGTTCCAGGTCAGCTGTTGCTACCATCCATCTCTGATAGTAATTTACAACCTGGGAAAACGATAAAGCTGGTAGCAGTGTTTCTTCCCACAGTCTTCAGCGCTTTCTTTGCCTTGGTGTCAAGGTTTGGGCTAAAGGTAGAACAATTCACAAAGTGGTTGGGGTCTCCTGTTCAAGGACATGATTAAAGGTGTCCTGGTGGTAATAAACAATAATGCCAACTTAATGAATGACTTCTCAGTGTAGTATTGGCTTAAAAAAAACAGGTGAATCCCTGATGTCTACATACTAATATAAGCCCTGTGCTGCTGTAGCTTGCTTTGGTCTGCTGGTTCCCAGATGTGGTATCCAGCTGTTTGTCAGGTTCCTCCTCTGTAATCCATGGAAACCTCAACTGTATTACCACACCATGGGTTTCCTACTGAGTTCACTGTTTAAAAAAGTGGGAGTTGGAATGTTCCTTTTTTATGTTTTTATTGAAAAGAGCAAAAGTGCTATGAAAAGGTAAAATTACTATGTGTGTATATAGCTGATATTCATTGTATGGGTTAAGTTGAAAAACTTTGCATTCCTACTTCTGTTGGAATTCGGGTTAGATTATAAGCTAATGCTTGGTTTAAAAATTTTTTCACAGTAAACTAGTATTTGATGCTCATTCATTCATTCTTCACTCTACTTATTCAATAAATATCAACAAATCCTTATTATGGCGTTGAACATGTGTCCCTTACGGAGGGAGAAGTTTATCCAATAGAGCTGTTTACAGACTTTGTTTTGCAATCTTGATAAATGCAGTGGATGTGGCTTACAATTGCTGAAGAGACTCAGGCTCTCAGGTCTTACAATTGCTGAAATAAAGTGTATATTCTTGGGGGGGTTGGGTATAAGAACCAGATGACGCCGTTACCTATGCTTGACAGTCTTGAAGTAAGTGACTCTCTGCAGATGCCATATATTATTTATAGAAGTATCTGACATTTAGTGAGAATCTGTAATATTTAGGGCCAGCGTAGAGACTTTTGTTCTAGATCATTTTTCCAAACTTTTATCGGCAAATGCATCGTATTTTCTGTGCTTGCATGACTGTGCAAGTATAAAGGAGAGTATAAAGCACAGGCTATCAAATTGTTAAAAAGAAAATGCCAGTTTGAATTATTGATTATGTACCGAGGGCATAAATCTTTGAAATCATGGTAATGTTTCCAGACAGTACAAGATGGAATCTATGTTCTTAGCCTTTCCCTGAAAAATACTGCTGGATGCACGGCGATGGAGTTTTGTGTGCAATTTACCATTTTAATAACCCCTACCCGAAATCTAAGGTAGTGCGCCGGCCTACGGAAGCTAAGACTGAGCCGCAGCCGCAGGACTGGAAAACTTGCTGCCGGAACGTTTGTGCTGCAGTGTCTCGCCTCCGGCCGGTGCTCATTCGCAAAGGGACCGTCTCCGCCGAGAGCCTGTTGGCAGGAGCCCGCTTGGCGTCGGGTCTGTGGAGGTTTGGGGGTGCTCTGGCTGTAGCTGAAGCAGGCGTCGGGGAGAGCCCATAGGAAAGAAGGCACCATGGACGATCAGGGCTGCCCCCGGTGTAAGACCACGAAATACCGGAACCCCTCCTTGAAGCTGATGGTGAATGTGTGCGGACACACTCTGTGAGTCGGGAGACAGTGGCTTCCGTGGGAGTGAGACGCGCCGGGTGGGAGGCGGGAGCTGGGAGATGCTTGGCCTCGGCTCAGGGGAGAAAAGGGCGTCGTTAGTTTCAACACCGGGGCGGAAAATGGGCAAGGGGAGCGTTGTTTCTGTAAACGGACTCGAGCCACTAGCCCCTGAGCCGCGCTGGCCTGCTTTGGACTGCTGGTACCCAGAGGTAGTACCCAGCAGTTTGTCAGGTTCCCCCCTTCATAGCCCATGTATTTCCACATTCTGGTGACAACTGGGGTCCAGACATGTCGCTGGTAAAAGCGTGGGGGATTGGAATGTTTAATTTCGCGCGAAATGTTTTTATTGACAACGGCCAAATTGCTATGAAAACAAAATTACTGTGAGTATATAGTTCTGTTTGTTATGTAGGCTAATTTGAAAACCCCGTCTGTAAAGCAATTTGTCTTGATGGAGTTTGGTTAGATTTCTCATCCCTGAAAGGGAGAAAGTCTCGGCAGTTAATTTTGGAGATAGAATGATGGCTGGCATTTAACGAGGGCACATTACGTGCCAGGCACTGTTCTAAGCCTTTATCATGAATTGTCTCACTTCGTTCCCACAACAGCCCCATGAAGTAAGTACTAGTATTATTACCATTTCACAGAGAAGGAGGCTGAGACTGCTCAAGGTCCCTTATTAGGTGGGCCCTACTAGAATTGGAACACACCGTGTCTGACTCTAGAACGCTCATTTTTGGGAAAGGGACAGGAAAGAGGGAGGTTGAGTTTGTGTATTTTGAAGAATAAGTGCAGGAATTGGTCAACGTATTTCTTGCCACATTTTTAAAAAAGATTTTATTTATTTATTTGAGAGAGAAAGAGAGAAAGCGCGCCAGCACGATGGGGGGAGTGAGGAGCCGAGGCATGGGGGTGGGGGGGAAGCAGACTCCCGGCTGAGCAAGGAGCCCGATGTGGAGCTCGCTTTCCGGACTCCGATTCCCAGACTCCCAGACTCCCAGACTCCGGGGACATGACCTGAGCCTAAGACAAAGGCTTAACCGACTGAGCCACCCAGGCGCCCCTTCTCACCACATTTTTATGGTCACATATAGTTCAGTAAAGGTGGTTTCATAAAGCACTTCGGGATTAAAGGTGATATATTATGGTGAGCATATATTCCTGTAGCTTCTTTGAGGTTTCTTAGAAATAAAAAATGATGGATAATCTACAGTGTGATAGACTAGGTCTTTGGGTAAGCAAAACTTGCATGATCAGTTGTAGTTATTATAATAAGGTTTATTAACTTGCTTAATTGGTACTTTTTTCTTATTTTTATTTTCCTTTGCTTTATCCAGCAAAGGAAATGCAGTGGAACTGTGATTGAATGGTTTAAGATTAGAAAGAAGGTGAAAGTAATCAAGTAGAATGCATGGAAAAGGGAAGTGAGACAAAGAGTGTATAAAGACTGTTAGGTTTTTAGAAAGATTTTGTTCAATTTCTCTTCATTTTCCTGTATCAGGTTTGTTGGTGCTCAAGGGAAGTGAATTTGCTTTTTTTGAAGGATACTAAATGTAATTTTCTGCCAGACATTTCTGCCTAGTAGAAATTAGCTAATTGGAGAAGATTGTGATTTCAGCAAAATAAATGGCATTTTTATTAGGCAATTATGAAATAATTTATTTTTAATTAGAGATTGCTTTTGTTGTTTTCCTTAGTCCTTTTTGTTTTCTCATACGAGTTAAGAATTGTCTAAGGTATTGGGGGCCTGGCTGGCTCACTTGGTAGGGCATGTGACTCCTGATCTTGGGGTTGTGAGTTTGAGCCTCACATTGGATGTAGAGATTACTTAAAAAAATAAAATCTTAAAAAAATTTGTCAGTTATTCTTGTGTTTCATTTATTTTGGTTTATTTGCTAACTTGTTAGATACAGACTGCACTTTATAGTTTTTTTGATTTGAAATATGAACAAAATGAATAAAAGAATATAGAGTATTGGCTAAGAGAATAAACTTCTGATTTTGAATTCTTTGCACAGTCCCTGTAGTGTTTGGCTTTGGACAAATTACTAACTTCTTGTGCTCATTTTTCTTATTTGTACAATAGAGGTAGCAGCACTACTTCTATTACAGTGTTTGAGGATCAAATAATATATGTAAAATATTTGGAGGTGTTTTGTAGAGTTTCTGTCTCTACTGTCAAACATAGTATTTGTTTAATATATATTGGCTATCTTATTATCATTATTGTGGATAGTATGTGTGCTAAGCAGAAATGAAATTAAAACAGGAGCCATTTGGGCTACTATGAAAGACTTGCACAATAATGATTTTCTTTAAATGAATTCAAGAGACTATAAGATGTTAAAATGATAGTTTTAATTATAATGACCCTATAAATGATAGAGTGAGTAGGAGTAGTGATTCATAAAAGATAAGAAGTACAGGATTATGGAAAGATTAATTAGGAGGGTGTACTGTTTATGGGAGAAAATGCAGGAGCAAAAAGGGGAGAAGAGGTGAAACATGAAAATACTTTCCTCCCTTACCTGCTAGTAATTGAGGAAGCATATTCCCTTTTGTATCAGTTCAATCCAGCAAACACCCAAATGAATTGATTACATGTACATGAAAGAAGTTTGGATTCCATGTTTGTTTTTCAATTCAAGGATGAGCTTGAATTGTCTTAATTACAGAAAAGGGTGATATTTTTTCTTTTTCAGAACCACCTGTTTTAAGAAACAGGCCTTTCATAGAAATCTTTCATAGAATTCTGGAAGCATACTGAATTAGATGGAGTCAGTTATATCTAATTCTCATTTAAACAGGTCTTTAATAATTTAATTTTAATTCCAGCCATTTTTGGCAAAACTCTTCTCTGGAAACTTTACATGTATTTGATTTTACTGAATCTACTTTTTTCATTTTAAACATGCATAAGACACAAAATAGTAGAAAAAGCAAATATGTCCTGATATATAAAAGTCAGTATTTTGCCATATTTACTTAAGATCTTTCTTGCTCTGTCTCTTCCCTTCCTCTGTTCCTGTTTCTCTCTCACCTACTGATGAATTACTGAGAGTTTCTACTATGAATTTTGCTGATTGCATCTCTGTGGTATTGTTTAATATGTTCCTTTGTATTTTCTCTAAATTATTAGTTATATTTAGAAGCTCTATCAGGTTAAGGTTCAATTTATTTATTGTTGGAAAGAATGATTCATAAGTGGCATTTATTTGTTCTGACTGGTATTTTGGACTTATATAGTACCTATATGCAAATTAGGAAACAGTGTCTACTTTGGGCAGGCAAAGTAGGAAAAGGCACTCATTCTGGTAAAATAATTTGAAAAAGGGGACTTTCTCAGTATTTGTTGTTAATTTCAAATTTTCTGTTGTGGTAAGAGAAGATACTCTATTAAATTTCAGTCTTTTGAAATTTTCTTAGAACTTATTTATGGTCCAGCAAATGGTCTGTGTTGGTGAGCAATGTACATTTGAAAAGAATGTTCTGCAACTGCTGGGTATAGTGTATTATGAATGTCAATTTGGTCAACTTGGTTGATAGTGTTACTCAGATCTTCTGTATATTTTTTAAATTATGTTAATCACCATACATTACATCATTAGTTTTTGATGTAGTGTTCCATGATTCATTGTTTGCATATAACACCCAGTGCTCCATTCAGTACGTGCCCTCTTTAATACCCATCACCAGGCTAACCCATCCCCCCACCCCCCTCCCCCTCTAGAACCCTCAGTTTGTTTCTCAGAGTCCATAGTCTCTCGTGGTTTGTCTCTCCCTCCAATTCCCCCCCTTCATTTTTCCCTTCCTGCTATCTTCTTCTTTTTTTTAACATATAATATATTATTTGTTTCAGAGGTACAGGTCTGTGATTCAACAGTCTTACACAATTCACAGCGCTCACCATAGCACATACCCTCCCCAGTGTCTGTCACCCAGCCACCCCATCAGATCTTCTATATTTTACAAATTTAATTTGTCTACTCATTTTATCAATTACTCCAACTAGATTGTGGATCTGTCAGTTTCTCCTTTTAGTTCTGTTATGTTTCATGTATTTTGAAGTTTTCTGATCAGGTACATAGATATTTAGGATTGCTCTGTCTTCCTGATGACTATCACCTTTTGTCATCGTGAAAAATGTCTCTTTTTGTCTCTTGTAGTACTCTTTGTCCTGAAGTTTTTGTCTGAATTAAATAGTCATGTCAGCTTTCTTACGCATACTGTTTGATGGTATATCTTTTTCCATACTTTTACCTTCAACCAATTTATATTAGGAGATAGTTAACATCTTGCTTTTTTACCTGGCCCCCAAATTTCTGCCTTTTAATTGGTGTATTTGTCCCTTTATATTTAATGTAATTATTGAACTCATTGGGTTTAAGTCTGCTTGTTTTCTATTTGTTCCTTTTGGTTTTTGTTCTTGTTCCTTTCTTGCCTTATTTTGATTAATTGCATATTTTAAAGTATTGGCCTATTAGCAATAGTTCTTTGTTGTTATTTTAATATTTTTAATATTTTTTGAGTTGTTTCTCTAGGTATAACAGTGTGTATCTTTCTCAAAGTCTATTTAGAGTCATCATCTGACACTCCTCATTTTTAACTTCCCATTTAATAACTTCGCAAATGTGAACAATATAGTTCTGTTTACTCACCCATCTCATCTTTTATGCTGATGATGTATCTTTTACTTCTATATATGATTCAGTATTGTTATTTTTGCTTTAAACAGTCAGTTGTCTTTAAGGAAAAGTAGACAACTGAAAAATAGTCTTTATAAAAACATTTTTTTGAGATATAATTTTTCACATACCATAAAATTAATCCATTTTAAGTGTAGAGTTTGTGGCTTTCAGTATATTCTCAGAGATGTGCTTCCATTACCATAATCAACTTTAGAACATTTTTGCCACTTCATAAAGAAACTCCTCATCACTTAGCCAGCACCCTCCAAACACTCCCTTTCCCCCATTGCCCTCCCCTAGCCCGAG